GTTAGCGTGTGCTACAAGGAGACCCTCTCTCAAAAAGGCCTCTCTCTCTCTCTCTCTCTCTCTCTCTCTCTCTCTCTCTCTCTCTCTTCTGGTCTCTAGGGTCCCCTGTATACAATATCTATAAAGCCTAGAACCTTAGGTCATTTTTTGCTTACCCACTGGAGTCAGGGAATGTTGGAGCAGATAGCACTATACTCTTCTCTTTGCCTAAGACTCAAGGACATGGAGGACATTTCATGGGGCACATTGCTCTAGTCCTCACCCTGGGATTCCTGAATCCTGTGCCTTCCTCTTCAGCCTCCTTTGCTGTTTCTGTTTTGTGGAATGTTCTTGGCCTGGCCTCCCACCTGCTGGGTGTTTTGCAGAAGCCAGGTACATTTACAGAAATACTGGGTGAGTCCTGGGGACCTCAGTTCTCCTATATATGACAAAGATGATGTGACCAGAAATAGTGAAAACTTCTGGAGCCAAGGCAAGAAGCTAGCCGACAGCTACAAGGAGAGCCATCACTCCCTTCCTTTCCTGTTAGAAAAGTGTAAAACCAAGGATGTTCAAGGTCCTTCCATAGCTGCCAGCCTGAAATACAGGAGTGGTGTCATGACTTTGAAATTACTTGAACTCAGGACAAATCCATGCTCACTTACCCCAACCTGCTGGCTGTGTAACCTTGGCTAAGTCTCTTGACCCTTTGGGCTCTGATGATCCTCCTTGAATGCTGAGAAAATTGTCCCTCCATTCTTCCATTCAACAGTATTTAATGACTATCTGCTACGGCCAGAAGCTGTAGGGGATAGAATGATAGGAACAGGCCCTGTTTCTCATGGAGGAGGCTGTCATTAGCCGAACATATATGCAAACAAATGCACATTTGCAAGCTGGGCTAAGTGCTATGAAGGAACCATAGAGTGTCCCAAGAAGATAAACTTCTCAGTGATCAAGCTGAAGAGGCCAAGGGCAGTTCTTCTGTGGAACTGATACTTGGCTGTGGGGAGAAAAGTAGTATCTCTCCAAGTGAAGTGTGTCACAGGCAGAAGGATTGGCTTGTGCGATGGGGAAGGATGTCCTTTGGAACCCGAATAAGCTACCAAATGTGGTACAAAGAGGAGGGATGTTGATGGAAAGGAGATTGCGCTCCATGACCTTAAAACAGGGAGAGGGCTGAAGAGATGGATCAGTGGTTAAGAGCTCATACTGCTCTTACAGAGGGCCTTAGTTTGGTTCCCAGCACCCACACTGGGTGGCTCACAACTGCTTGTGACTCCAGCTCCAGGAGATCCATCTTCTCAGGCCCCGTACTCAGGCACATGTATCCGACCCACACATACTCATACTTTAAAATAATGAAAATAGATCTTTAAAAAAGCAGGGAGATTATGTGGAGTGATCTGGTGGGGGTGATGTCATGACAAATTGTTCCTACCAGCTTGGAACCTTGGTTTATAATTGGAAGTGTGGACCTGCTGAGGCACCATGGGACCCACTCAAGACTATGTAATCCAGTATTATTAAGAAACCAAGATGCAAATCCAATTCTCTTGTTTCCCTCCTTCCCTCTTTCTTCTCTTTCTCTCTGTCTTTATTTGACATAGGGTCTCAGGTAGCCCAGGATGACCCCAGACTCTCTGAGTAGTTGCTGAGGACCTTGAACTCCTGATCCTCCTCGTTCCACCTCCTAATTGTTCCCTTGTTTGATTTCTATGCTTTTCTTGGGTCCCCAGCTGGAGCACTGATGGGATCTGATTCCTACTGCACTGTTTTCTCACCATATGACCTGGGACAGCCACTCTCCCTCTGGATTCTTAGGGTCATTACCTGTGGCATGAGGAAGGGCTCTGCCTCTAGGAACGTCTACATGGGCTAGCAGGTGAAAGAGGTCCCTCAAATTGTTTGCAGGTTCTGGGTGTATATGTACTTTTGGAGGGGGAACATTGGTCGCTTTTGTCAAAATATCAAAGGGGCCCTAAAAAGAGCTCTTCTAGTTCTGAAACTTTATGACTGTCACTCAAAAGTGGGAGCAGTTTGGAGAAAGCATCAGGCTGGCAATTTGACCTTTGTCACAGTTGTCCACTTGGTACCTGTCAACAGAGTGCTGTTATCTGCTGGTATGATTTCAAGGCAGGGGGCAGGGCAGCAGATGAAAGAAAAGTCATATATTTCAGTAGGTGATACAGAAAACAAGTAATGAGATGTGTGCAATACAATATCAGGGACTGGAAGAATCACTACAGAAAACACAGCAGGATAAGGGGCTGGGGCATGGCTGGAAAGCTGAAGAAAAAAAGGTTTCTCTGAAAAGATGGTCTTGGTCTCAGGGAGTGAGTCTGAGTCAGAGAGAACAGAACGTGACCTGAGGTGGGAGCCACAGTGGGGCTTGAGGAGGCAGCAGACAGCAAGAGGCCAGTCTAGAACTATGAAAGTCACTGAGGGACCCTGGAGCAACCAGAGCTGGGTGAGGGCTGCTAGAGGCTTTGAACAGAGGAGTGGTTTGGGATAATGTTCTAGAAGTTTCTCTCCGACTGCTTAATGAGATGAGAAAAGCAGAGAGCAGAAGCAGAGGCTGGCTATGAGGTCATTGGTGGAGCCCTAGGAGGGAGTTGGGGGGCGGGACTCTGGTGGGGAGCCAATGGGGAGAACTGTTAGGATCCCATTGGAAGCTCTGCAGGCTTTGCCTGTCATCCATTATGGGATGGGAGAGGAGTCAACCAGGATCCCTCTCTACTGAGAATAATTGTTCCTTGGTATCCATGGCTCCAGGACCCCCTCAGATACAAAAATCCCAAGTTTCCCAAGCCCCTGGTATAAAACCATGCAGTGTTTGCATAGAGCCTATTCACATGTTCCTGTAGATGTCAAATCGTCTCAGATGGCCTATTATACCAGACCCAGTGTGAATGCTGGATAAGTAGTTCTTCATAGCACTGTCAGGAAATAATAACAAGAAAACAGCCTAGACATATACAGCATGGTGCAATTGTTTAAAAAAATATTTTTCATTTATGGCTGGCTACATCTGCAAGTGTGGACCTGGCTGAATGCTGCCTGGTTCTGAAGGCTTTCCTGATGTCAGTGTGCCGATGGGATTGCACTCTTTACCTAGGCACACGTGTCTCTTGCCTTTGTGTTCAAATGTTCACTCTCTTGGCACAAGTTCACTCTCTTGGCTGACAAGTCTCTGCCGGTTCTACAGTGAGGGGCTCCTTGGAGGTAGCCCACTGGCATCAATCAGGGTGTGACTGGGGGCCTTGATGCTGTACACTAAGGTGAACTTAGCCATGCTCACAGCCAACATGATGGACTATCCTAAGGCTAGCTGCTCCTGGGAGCAGGAACCTAGGCCTTAGTGGTTATGTCTCCTAGCTAGCAGATCGAGAAGAAAACCAGGTTCAAAGGGGGGCAATGACACACCTGAGGCCACATGGCAGCTTGGGGTAGCTGCAGCTGGACCATATCTCTTCCTTATCCTGCTGCTTTGCGTTGCCTTCTTTTTGTGATGCTGGTGAGCACAGGGGAGGGCAGTTGTCTGTTAGACTCCAATAACTCCAGAGAAGAGTTGGCTTTTGAGTGAATGCTCTAACTCTGAGAACAGATAGATGTGAGTGGAGGGTAAATGTGGACCGTGAGAAAAGTCCATATCGAGCAACGCCACTATGACAAAGACAATGGCAAGGACCAGGACTATAGGGCAGGATGTAGGGAGAGGAGGTGAAGGAGAGAGGTCATATGGGCCATATATTCCAGCCTTGGGTACAGCAGTCCTGGACAATGGAAAGTCACCGAAAGTTATGAGCCTGGAATAATGTGGTAAATGTGGAACATGGAGAAGATACTGGAGATAGAACAATTGACACAAGTGTCTGTGTGGATATCCTCCCTTTACTCTAATACGAGCATCTGCTATATAAAAATACTGGCCCAGCAAGGTGAAGGAACTTGCCAAAGGCCAAGGCTGGAGCAAGAGCCTAGTTTATCTGCCTCTTATCTGAAAAGAGGGATGATGCCAATGGGTGATGCTGCCGATGGCTCACATCCAGCATCTTACCCAATGCTCACAGTAGCCCAATGATGAAGCTATTGTTATTTTCTTCCTTAGAGGGAGCCATGGGGGCACAGAAACATTAAATTATTTGCTCATGACCAACCAAATGGTGAGCCAGTTTGACTTGTCAAACTTAGTTTGATGCAACAACCCATATCATAGGCCACATGAAAAGCTATGTCATCAGATGTGAAGGAACTGTCCTTGGATGACATAGAGTGTCATCCTCTTAATCCCATTCTTTCCCATCCAAGCAGCCCTCACACACCTGCTTTCCTAGTATCCAGTCTGGTTGGCAGATTATGCTGCACTGTGATTGGAATTGTGAGGCAAGGCACATGTGCATTTAAACCTATATAGTTTGGGACAAATAAGAATATTTTAAAGGTTGCCTGGTGGAGCAGATGGAGAAGCTGAGGCCCAAGACACATTTGCCAGAGCTCCACAGCAAGTAGGTGACAGTGGGTCATAGCAAGTGGTTGCTGCTCAGTTTCTTCTTCCCTCACAGCTGGTCACTTCTCTGTGTTCCTGGAGTCCTGGATGTATTGGTTATTTATTTATTTATTTTTATTGCTGTGACCAAAACATCTGACAAAAAACAGCTTAAGTAGGGAAAGATTTATTTTAACTTACAGTTCGGGATGGTGATAGATACAGTGGGGAAGGCATGGTATCAGGAGAGGGAGGCAGCTGGTCACATTGCATCCACAGTCACAGAGCAGAGGATGAACAGGAAGTGGAGAGGGGTTATAAAACTTCAAAATCTGCCCTCAGTGACCATTTCCTCCAGTGAGATTCCATTTCCTAGAGGTTCTACAGCCTTCCCAAACAGCACCACCAGATAAAAACCAAGTATTCAAACACATGAGCCTGTGGGGCACATTTCACATTCAAACCACGACCCCTGGTTTGGGCTATAAACTAATTTCTCATGAAAGCAGACTATGAATGGGCCACAATGCCCACAGTCCACAGGGCCATTGCTTATTCAGCTATGCTGTGGTTTCTGTGTCATTCTTCCCCTTGAAAACCTCTCACGCTGATAGTACTGTTTACATATGGAAATGTTACCTAGAATTGAAAATATCTGCATGTTAACTTTAGGTGCCTCTTTTGAAAATCAGGAGCAGATTGGCTTTGTGTGGGGGCTTCTGGCCTGGGAACCCAGAGACATTTGTCTATGGAGTCACTTTTTTCCCTTCTGTGTCTGTGGGAATCCCATTGCATTTTTACCACCAGGGATGGGGCAGCAAGCGCTCATGAGCTCCGCAGGTCTGAATTTGAATTTGGATTTGGCCTTGTGTGGCCTCTAGCAAAGCTATGGCCAGAAGGAGGAGAGGTGCCGGGAGCTGGGTCTTGATCTTCATGAGGCTGTGAGTGAGGTTCAAGATCAGCTTCATGGATAGTGTGGGCACTCTCGAGTCTGTCTCTCATTCAGCTGGTGCAGCAGCCTTTGAAGAGGAGAGTTTCATAGATGTTAGAAGAGAAAACTGGACCTCAGAGAGGGTAACTGTGGCCCAGCATATCTCATATCTTTTTTTTTAAATTTTAATGTGTATGAGTGCTGTGCCTGCATGTACGTGAGTGCACGCTTTTTGTGCAGTGCCCACAGAGGACAGAAAAGGGCATCAGATCCCCTGAAACTGGAGTTACAGATGGCTGTTTGCCACTATGTGGGTGCTGGAATTCAAACCTGGGTCTTCTGCGAGAATAGCCATTGCTCTTAAGCTCAGAGTTATCTCTCC